GAGATTCCCTTTTATCCTTTGCTTGTTGGAGATTTTCTATGGTTGGACGTTGTAGTCCGTGGCAGCCGTCAAAGTCAAACCCCTTGACTTTCGCCYAGACCCGGAGTGAGGCTCATTTCCAGGGCCGCAAGAAACGACTGTCACCACAGGTATGGACCTGTGCACCACCCGCTCTGCATAAGGTGCAGAAGAGGGTGTGTGATCTTCAACCGCGCATGGCGGTTGTCCAGCGTCGAGAGATTAACCCTCAAGGCACGTGTCAGCCGACACTTGAGTGTCGAATGCGACCCTCGAGATTAACGAGGACCGCACGAGGGTGGGTACTACATAGTACACCATCATTGCGATTGCTTGCGTACGCTTGCATCGCGAGTCGATATGAGTTAGCCCTGCGACCACGCGGTTATATATTAAGTCTCGCACGCGACGCCTATCCGATTTCCGCGTCGGACAGTTATGGGATGGCTACCGAGGGGCTAGGAGTGTTGTCACGTTGTTTATGTTGTGTCGTTTTGTGTGCGTATGTGTGTGCGTGTGTTTTATTGTTGTGTTCGTAAGTGGTGTGCGCGTGGTGTGTAGGATACGTCCTAGTCGACCGACGACGAGTCGCGCTTGGGACCTCAGCCCCCCAAGATGTCGGCTCGCGTGCGGGTCCGATAGGCGTATTACCGTGCGTACCCCCTATGCTACAGCGAACGAGAAAACGCCCTCGGCTGGTCCACCTCTGCGATTGCAACTGATTAGCTTTCGTACTGTGGACTGGTAGCTCGACGGGGATACGCCCACCAAAGGGAGGTGACAGCTCCCGTAAGGTGGAGGTAAGTCGTGCCTCGCGTAGGCCCTATCCTGTCGTAGGGGTTCGGGAGAGGTATGGCTGGCGCACTCGGCCAGAGCGGCCTAAGGAAACTCCACTTATGTGTTTGTGAGAAGGATTTAAACCAACTCCTGCGTGACGCGGCCGGGAGGGTTCCGCGCTGCCGTGGTGCGGTGCCTGACCGATGCGCTCGACAACGGCCTAGCATTTGTAGGCCGTAAATGCAATGAATATTCCAAGTCTCTGACAAAATTTAGATACAAACAGGAAATCGACTTCAACAAAAAAAATCAAGGTCGGATTTTTTCCCGGACGACAGGGGTACCGGACGTATGGGGGAGACGTCCGGGGGAGACGGCCGGCCCCCGGACCATTGGTAACCTAGGTTTAGAAGTTCAATTACTCAGATACATGGAATACAGGTGATAAGGAATTAAAATCAGAGACAAATTGAAAAAAAACGTGAAACAAGAGGATCCATGGATGCGAGATTCTTTGTCACGACCAGAGCACGAACTGGAAGAACCATAATTGAAGCACTAAAAGAGAACCTTCGGCCACCTCCATGACGGTCATAACGAAAATTGCAAGAGATTTCTTTAAGGATTTATATACATAACAAACTTCCACAACTCCGAAAGAACAAAGGTCAATTGAAATAAAATAATTATTATTTTTTTTTTAATCTCACTTAAAAGATCCATCACGGATGCTCAAAGGTTGGAAACGAAAAATCCACTAACCAAAGAAGAAATCTGAAAAACTACAATTTTAATGGAAGAAGAGAAAACATCTGGTATAGATGGTTTGTCCAAAGAATTTTGGGGAACAATGTGGGATTTCATTTCCCAAGACCTCATTACCTTCTTTTCAGCAGTATGGATCTCGAGGGATATGGGATAAATTGTTAGTCAAGGGGTTCTCACTCTCCTGTATAAAAAGAGTGATAAATGTAATATTAGAAATTACGGCCCCATCACACTTCTTACTGTTGTATAAAAACTACTGGTTAAGGTTATGGCGGATAAAATGCTCAAGGTTGCGTAGCATTCTGTTTGTGTTCAGTCACTGAACGCAAACGTTTGGGACCGAACGCGAACGGGTCACAAAACCCACCGAATGCTTTTATTTTATTTTTTAATATATAGGGGTGGGGGGGGGGGGRGGGGGRGGRGAAGGAGGAGAAATATATGGCGGGAGCAAGAGGATATGAGGGGGAGGAGGAGGAGAAGGAGGAGAAAGATATGGCGGGCGAAGGAGGAGATAAGGGGGAGGAGGAGGAGGAAGAAGAAGAAAATGAGGAAGAGAGGAGGAGGGGGAGGAGAAGGAGGAGAGCGATATGGCGGACGAAGATGAGGGGGAGGAGGAGGAGGAAGAAGAAAAAACAAAGGAGGAGAGGAGAAGGGGGAGGAGAAGGAGGAGAAAGATATGGCGGGCAAAGATGATAGGGAGGAGGAGGAGAAGAAGGAGAGGAGGACGACGACAAAGACGGAGAAGATATCGCGGCCAGCAGAGAGGATGAGGATGAGAAGATATGGCGGGCAAAGATGAGGGGGAGGAGGACTGGGAGGAGGACGACAAAGAAGAAGAAATGGAGGAGGAAGACGAAGAAGAAGAAGAAGAAAAAAAAAAAGAGGAGGAAGAGGAGGAGGGGGTAGATGTAGGAGAGGAGGAGGACGACGATAGGATCTTGACATATCGAATCAATCAATCAATCAATCAATCAATCAATCAATCAATCAAACCAAGATCCTATCGAATTAATTGATTCGATGGGATCTTCGATAGATCGATTGGTCGATTGATTGTTTGATTGATTGATTGATTGATTGATTGATTGATTCAATTTGATTGATTGATTGATTGATTAATTGATTGATTGATTGATTGATTGATTGATTGATTGATTGATCGGACAAAAAAAATAAATAAAAAAAAATGGGGGAGGAGGAGACCGTTAATACGAGGAGGAGGAGAAGAAGAAGAATACGGGGAGGAGAGGACTTAAAGGAGGAAAATAAGAATATGAGGATGAGGAGGAGGGGGATTACGAGGCGTAAGAATAAGAACAAAAAAAAATAAAAATAAAAAAAATTGGGCGCTTGCTGACGTGGCAGTCGCGTGTTGGTCAGTGGGAGGAGGAGGAGGAGGAGAAGTACAGCAGGAGGACGACGACGGGGAGGAGAAGGAGGAGGAGGAGGAGGAGGAGGAGGAGGAAGTACAAGAGGAGGACAACGACGACAGGGAGGAGGAGAAGGAGGAGGAGGAGGAGGAAGTACAGGAGGAGGACAATGATGGGGAGGAGGAGGAGAAAATACAGGAGGAAGACGACGACGACGGGGAGGAGGAGGAGGAGAAAGAGCAGGAAAGGAAGGACAAGGAGGACGAGGAGGACGAGGAGGAGGGGGCTGAACACCTACCACGACGATGACGTGCTCCCTGCGAGGTTGAATCGACGTCAATGATGGCGTCCGCTGCGCGGTTAGGAGTTGTGGGGATACACACACACACCTGGCCGATTCGAATTCGAACGCGGGGCCAGGTTACCCCCATCCACCAGGCCGCCCGCCCAAACCCGCCCCAGGGCCCCCCACCTGCCCCCCATATCCTTCCCAGGGCCGGTAACGCCCGTTGGGCGAACGTGTTCGTAGGCCTTGGAAAGGCGTTCATGCGAATACGTTCACTTCCCGTTCGGGCGAACGGCTGAACGTGTTCGGACGTTCAAAAAACTTTCGAACACATTCGATGTGCTACGCAGGCTCAAGGTTATAAAGGATATCATCCATCCAGCCCCAACCAGGTTTATTAGAAGAAGGAATATTCAAGACAATATCCTGTTAATCAATGAATTGGTCAAAGTTTCAAGACAATCCAAACATAATGCAACCTTCAACTTTATAGACTTCGAAAAAACTTATGACCATGTAGATTGTTTTTTCTTCAACAAATGTCTTGAGAAAATGAACTTTGGACCCTGCTTTAGAAGATGGATAAAAATTATGCACCAAAACAGAACCACCAGGGTAACTATGAATGGCAATATAACTCCCCCAATCAGCCTTTAGAGATTTGTCAGACAAGGGGATCCGTTAGCCCTCTTTTTATTCATTACATTATGGAAGCGTTAGCAACCAACCTGAATCATCACAAACACATTAAAATCCAACTCACTTTCATTCCTGAGGATGCGATTCCATTGTGTTCCCTGTTTGCAGATGACCTCTCATTGATAGTAGATGCAACAAAAAAAAACATGAAGGCAATCCAGACATTGATGAATAATTTATGCAGATTATCTGACAAGAAGGTTAATTGGGGAGAGAAAACCATAGGCTAGTGGATCCACTATCAAGGAGTCAGGCCACCGGAAACTCCCAAAATCACATGGCTTTCCCTAGATACCCCCATCAGAGTCTTAGGCATCTCCCTATCAGTTGAAGGTATACCAAAATCAAATAATGAATGCATAATGTATCATGCCATACTAATTTGGAACGATGAAAAAACAAACACACCTCCATCATGGGTCGCTCCCTAGCCATCAACAATGTGGTTATGTCGTCAATATAATGGTACAAATCTGTCATTTGGACCCTCGATAACTCAGCGGCCAATCTATTCCAACAACAACTCAGGGCACTTCTCTGGAGGGGTAACCATGATTACAAAAATGTTATTAGCAGAGTGGTCTGGTCTTCAATAATCCAACCGAGGTCGAAAGGAGGGTTGGGGATCATTGACCAAGCCATACAAGCCATGACGCTTTCAATCCAATGGATTAAGAGGCTTGTCTTTAATCGTCAGACCCCTTGGAGTGCCCTGGCATGAGAACAAATAAGGAGACTGGGCCCACAGACTGCAGACTCAATTGATTTGGCAATGTGGTTATAAAATCGTTCATGATCCATCCCGCAATACACCTCCAAGGATCAGAATGAGAAAGGTGGAACTGATAGAGAGACGGTCAAACAAGACATCAGACAGGACTCATTCTGACCCATAATCCTTAAAACGTGGAGGAAACTTTTCCTGCCTGACAAACACCTTCCCCAAAGATGGAAAAAAATCAGCAGGCAACCACTTTTCAATAATGAATGGATTAGGGATTCCCTCGGTTTCACCCTGCATTGTAATGAATCACCATGGAAAGGGTGGATAAGACAAGGAATTACAAGAATCAAAGATATCTGGGATACAGACACCAATGATTGGATCTCTCCCAAACTTCTACACAACGAACTTAAACATTGTTATGGAGTGGAGGAAAACCTAGATAAATTAACAGAGTTAATACCTCTTGATCGCGTAAGAATTCTCAAGAAAGGAAAAACACTCAAGGAAAGTGAGTGGGTTACCCTCCGTTAGGACCCTCATTTGGGAGGAAATATCATACTTCTTTCCTAAGACAAAGAGACCCTAATCTCCCTTTTCAAACTAAAAGAGGACAAAAAGGTTTCCCACTGCCCAGATAATGAAACAAAATGGGTATCAATATACAAGATATTTAAGATTAGAGTCCTCAAAATCGACTTGACTACATGGCTGACTTTTAGACATTCAAGCCCTATCGAGGACTTACTATTAGATCTAGCCACCTGAACATGGAGAACAAATACAAACCTGAAAAGGAATTACAACTGCTTCTTACACACCCTCTCGGTTAAATCAACCTACCGGATGATCAGACCAAGGATTAATTTGAAAGATTTAAGTCCAGATGGCAACATTTAAATTTTTGCAAGGATGATTTAAGTCCGATCCAATGGTTCAAAATTGTAAGATTCAAACCATCTAAAACTGCCTCATTGCAATGGCAAACAAAACATCTTTGCCTTCCTACAAAAGACTGGTTAATAAATAAAACCTCCCTAGAAAAATGAGTCATTGAGCCTTGGTGCAAGCTATGCAAGACCGTTTTTCCGAGTAGGAAAATCTCTGAAACTATAAAACACATATTTATAGCATGCCCTGGGGCGGTCTGGCTTTGGAGGTGGTGGGACTGCATCTGGGACCATCTAGAAACACAAGCTCAATGGTCGTGGGGTTTGAAAGCAATTCTGCTAGAAAAATGGAACCCTAAGCAATCTGACAATTACACACATAATTTGTTTATTATGGTAAGGCGAGCAACTCTCTGGGCCACACGGCAAAAAAATGTACTTTTGATTGGGAAGGAGTTAGGCTGGATGGCCCGGAATTCACCGACAATACCAGACAACAAATTCAAACTGACATATCTACTCATTGGGACAACTTTAAGGAAAAAAATCAATTTAATTCCTCAAAAGCTGATATAGGCAAATCAATATAAAAATTCAGTGGAGATTGACTTAGGGGGTTAAAAGGGGGAAATTGAAATGGTGGAATGGGAAGGTGAGGAGCGAAAAGAAGGAGAGGAGATCATCAGAAATTACAGGCCAAAGTTCAACGAATGGACCGTGGTGGATCCATCAATCCCCCTCCGCCCGATGCAAGAGTTTCCCAATCCATTCCTGCCACCCCAAAACTTCATTGTCCCACTTTTTTGGTATGGTGTTGTCTGACCAGTAAGAAAAGGAAGAGTAATCTAGGGATACGTCCTTAGCAGGGTGAAGAGGGCGAAGAGAAACTTTTCCCTCTCGTATTCCTGTTATTTAATATCAAGGGAGGCTGGATCCGACTTCCAGCAGGTGCAGCTCAAGGTTGGTTCTACATTGCTTAAATCCCGGTAGGTTGACAAAGTACAGTTCAACTTTTTTCGATTTTTTGGTGCAATAGGATGCTTACTACAGCCTTAGATTGTATAACCAATAGTGGGCCTGGGAGGTAAAAGGGGCAGGTGGGGGAAGGAAAGAACTAGTTTTTTGCACGAGGTATCTGACGCCTGGTTCAGGGTGAAGAGATTCTCTCCCTTCTTCCAATATCCTGCTTAGTCAATCCTCTGGTTTCCAGGACAATCAATGCTGACAATATTTCTCACTCCTTTTTTTCCCGATATACTCCAAATTCATTTTATATATAGGACACTGGACCCGTTTCCAAGTAGGTGATGCTCCCCACCAATAAATGAAGCCTCTCCCATGGTGCTAGTGGTGTTTGCTCCTACCAGCACCACTATCACTGGAGGGGGTGTTTCTTCCCCCCCCCCCCAGAAAAAAAAAGAGTTATAATTGGGCTATGGGCCAAGATACAGTTTTGAATTGCAGTTTGGGCAATGTATACAACCCAGCTTTTCGGCCAGGTAGGCTGCAATTGTGAACTGTACCTTAACCTATAATGCAATTATAACTTTTTTTTGTGACTCTACTAAAGTTACCCCCCCCCAATTTTTTTTTTTTTTTTTTTTAATAGGAACAAGGCTCCAATCTATTCGTGGGGAGCAACACGTGCTGGGAACCCGGGCCAGCGTCCCATATGGAAATTTACATAGAATTTTGAAAGTTTGATATACCGAGGCCATTACCCGGCTTTGGCTAAGAAAAAATTGAGCTACTTAGAAAACTACTACGACAAACTTCAGAAATAGGCAAAATTCAGAAAACGACTTAGAAACCCCCCATCAATCCTCTTTACCTCACTCCGGCAAGACTTACTGCAGTAGAGTCACCATCTTCGTTGTTGTTGTACCCTATTTCCATCCTACGAGCTAGCCCCCTCATTTGTAGGACGCTTGATATCCCACCATCTACTTCTCCCGCTCACCTCGTGTTTGAAACAATGCTATTAGGAAATGTATGCGAAACAATTGAGATGCCAGGGCAATTACCCGGCTTTGGCTGAAGAATCCTAAAAACACATGGGGATAGTCACAAACGGAGCACCACAAAAGTTATCAAAATACTCAAAGCCTTCAGAGACCCCAAACCCTCCACGACCCTCCAACTCTGTTTTATTTATTGTCGGGCTCTTCCAGGCCTCACACCCCCACCGTGCTAGGTTACAAGGCAACACGACTCACCCCAACTCCGACCAGCGTCGTCCCGACAGTAACCCTTGGTTGTAGTAACCCTTGGTTGTCCCTTGGAATGCTCAACCCAAAGCATCCGCAAATCTCTCTACCAGGCCTCATGCTCCTGCTATCAACAGGTTACAGGGCAACACCCGAGTACCGACCAATGTTGTTCTGGCGTCGGACAGCCACGGATCCATAAGCATAACAACATCAGAACAGTCTACAGTGAGTTGCTAGGAGCCCCAAGAATCCCAGAGCAATCTTAAAACCACCGGGAGCAACCGAGAGCAGCAGACTTTGATTAAAAAAGGAGTAAGAATCAACTAAGATTATCCGGGAACCGACATCAAGAAAACCACATTACCCCAGTGCTATTCAGCATTCCGGCCTACAACTACCCAATCCTAGATACCAAGCTCTACCAGGCCTCACATCTCCAACCGCTGGGTTACAGGGCAGCGCAACCCGCCCCAACTCCGGCCAGCGTCATCCTAGCAACAACTCACGGTTAGCCACTGGAATACTTTCCACCCTTGGCAATTCCCTAGATCTCTCTACCAGGCCTCGAACCCCCGCTTCACTCAGGTTACAGGGCAGCGCCACCAAACCCCAGCTCCGGCCAGCGTCGTTCTAGCATCCGACCAACCGTGAACCATTGAATATGATGGTATTAGCTCGTTGTCAAACGATCCACTAAACATCATCGCAGCCATGGTTTTAAGTTGTCTAGCTCCCTTCCCGCACTGGTCATGCTTGACGCACCCAAAACACCTAAGCACTCCCCCTTAATCCTACTCCGACAAGACTCGTCACAACGGAGCCATCATCTCGGTTGCTGCTATGCCCTAATCCCATCCTACCAGCTAGCCCCATCGCCAGCAAGATGCGTTGTATCCCTCTGTTAACTCACCCCTGCCGATGCGACCCCAACA